AATGTGATTTGGAGTGAATTTCCTATTTAAGTTCGTCCCCCTCTATTTTATAAAAACTCACATCTAACGCAGAAATAATGAAGTAGAACATTATGAGAATTTTGTTTATGTCAATTTTATGCATTCTACATGATTGCATTTCTTATTTTTCCGAAGAAAAAAAGCGACAAAAACTAATGAAGGATAGTATCTTCTTGATTGAAATTATTTGTAAAATATTTCGATATGTATGTCCATTTGGAGAATAACATATAAATCGATTTTAAGGGATTCAAAATATTGATAAAATCAAACTTTTTTTATGAATAAATTGCACATAGTGAGTAAAATATATTTTGGCATGGTTGGAGCAATATCTTTAGCCCCTGTTTGGTGTACATTATTTCAATATATATATATATATATATATATATAAAAGAAGGTTCTAGATAGTATTCTTAGGAGAATGTGTAGCAAGAAAAAATTTTGAATTTACGTGCAATATATTTTATAGTATGAATGTGTGATTGAAAATGATTCTGTAGTAAAAAGATACTTAAAACAATGAGCACCAAACATGGCTTAATCTTGGCTCGAGCATTTGTCAAGGGTTTTGAGATTGAACCCGACATCAAAAATAATTTTATATTGGTTTAAAATTATATGATGTAAAAATTATTAATAACAAAATAGAATAATATATGTAAAAATTGAATTGAATACTTAATAATTATCAATCTGAAAAGAATAAAATAAAAACACAAACGGGAACAACGATCAATTCATGACTGGTTCAATTACAAATTAGTTGACCCGACAAATTCATTAGTGTTTATTTCAGCTTTTTAGCATTAAGTTTTCAAGTTACAATTAGAACACTTTGCAATTTTTCCAGTTAAACCAAACTGAAACACTTAAATATTTCTCCTGTGAATACCCAAGTGGCTTTCTAAGCAGCGAGTTGGCTAAATCTTTTTTTGCTAGTTTATATTATTTAAATTGTTATCAACCTTGGTTTCAAGAAATGACTTAAAGGCACTGTGGGTCATCCAATTTTGAGTGAATTTGCAATCGAGTCACTTATATTCGATATGGTATAATTAGATTACTCAATTTTGATTTGTTTACAAGTATGATCGGCATGTATATTACCAGCCAATTTAACTAAGTTAATATGTTGCATTTGAAAAATTAACAAATGGCTAATTTTTTTTTTTTTTAATGACCGTGGGTGTTCAAACCATCTTACGCGTACCTCGACTAATCCCACAGAAGCCTAAAGTTTACAATCAGGTACTTAATTCAGTGACCCTGAGGAGACTCGAACAGTTGATTATTGGGGAGTCAACTCAAAGCCCAAAAAATAGCTAATGTTAGAATTAAAACTTCAACTTATTGTGATCGATCATAATTGCAGTTGATTTTAGTCACAACTGAACGTTAAGCATCTGGTTTTGCTTCATAAGTTGTGCTGATGATTTAGCATTAAACATGGATGACTCGCTATTTATAAAACAATGTAATTTTGCAATAAACAATATTGGATTATTTTACTCCTTTTTTAATAAACAAATTCTTTGTGATGATTAATGACTTTAATAATTTGTACGAAAAAAATTGTATCAAATAGTGAACCTGTCCATCCTATGCATAAAATTGGAAAGCAAGTTAGAAGCTGACTATTGAAGTCAAACTTAGTGCCTTTCATGCAAATTATATGGAATAGATAAAGTGATTTTTTTTTATTTTTATTTTTGGTGAAAACGTGTGAATAACAATAGTAAAACATTATGGGTCCATTTACAAAATTATTTTAGTGAAAAAATCTGTGATCGAAAATAAGTTTAATTTAAAAAAAAAAAATACTATCAAATAGGGCTTAATTTTAATTAATTTCCAAATTGGCAAGTAATGTTACTTATTTATAACCACGTAACTACTCAAAAAAAAAAATGTGATCGAAAATAAGTTTTAAAAAATACTATCAAATAGGTCTTAATATTAATTAATTTCCAAATTGGCAATTAATGTTACTTATTTATAACTACGTAACTACTCAAATAAGGGATTTATTCTTAAAATAAATTTTTGAAGAGTAAAATTACTACAATTCTCACACTAGTTTCAAACAAGTGCTCCTTATATTCTTAAATTATGTGGAATTAATAACATGTCAAATTAGTCTACAAAAAATTGACTTTTGTATGGTTACTGTATTCTGATGAACTTCTAGTAGTTTATTATCTGTAAACCGATTTCCATAAAATTTTACTTGATTAAGTATAAGTTTCAGCTATACTTTCTTTAAAACAGCAAAAATGTATAATGAATTATTAATCTGTGATACTAAATATATAAAATTTAGTATATAAGTAATGATTAATATTAAAATTTATTTGGAGAGATTAGGATTGTGTTTCTCAACTCTTTACTTGACGTGGTTATAGATCTTCAATCTTTAAAATTGAAGTTTTATTTTCAACATTTTTAAATTTGTAAATGTGGGTCTTTACATGACCGAAATTATCAATGTCAACATTAAAATTACACGCGTCTTGAAGTTGGAGGGCAAAATTATCGAACTACTTATTTTTTTGCCAATTTATATAATTTTAACGTTCACACTAATGATTTTGATCACATAAAAAGGTAATTTACATATTTAAATAAATTGGGAACCTAGAACGTCATTTTTGAATGTTGGGAGATTCATAACGATACATAATCAAACTCTAATTTTCTCAATTTATTAAATTTACTAATATATGTAATAAATGAAATTATAGATAATGTGTAGTGTGAAGCTTGAATGCTGATAAATTCCATTCGCGATAATTGCATATTTATTTTAGTGTTAGTCAAGTAATTGTACTTCAATTTTGTTTATTTTGATAACTACAATTTAATTTGATTTCAATATGATAACTCACTATAATTTTACCTAAGTAAGTTGATATGCAAAAGTCAATAATGATGGCTATCATACATAACAATTATTTGCATATGAAATAAGTACAAGTTTAGGAAAATTAGAATAATGTTATTTAGAATTAGCGATATTACAGAAGCAATTTAGGTGACACTATGGGATATGTTTAATTAAATGTAAAATTATGTAACTCATTTAATTGTGGCTCACATTTAACGTATCCAGTAGCACATACACCTGTGTTATAAAACTAGTGTCGCTAAATAGCAAGACTTGTGAAATTATTATGGATACCATTTATTAACTGATGTATCGAAGTGACATAATTTATGATTGAGATCAAATTAAGCTCTTGATTGACGACATCTGTTATATAGATTGACCATCAGTCTGCGAAGTAACATTTTGTTTTTCCATTTTGTCTAAAGCAAAAGTGACATGTAACTGTAACATTGATGGATTTTGATTTCATTTTGCTAATTTTGCCATTCTCTCCAAAGCAAAACATGCACACATTCAGCCAAAAAGTGAGGGTATAATTGAAAATCATGCATAATTATCAATAATCAAATACATTTATCATTCAATGGTATAAGAGTAAAAGAACTATAGTTACAACAAATAAAATTCAGTTGTGGTTACATAAACATACACATAATGTGGTGAGATAGGATTGTCTCAGAAAAATTTCAAAAAAAAAAAAAAACTCACTCTTTTTTGAAATCTCATTTGTATATAAAACCTTATACAATTTATCGTTTATAAGTAGCATTATTCAATAAAAAATTACCTGTCTAAATGCTAAAAAATAGATTAAGGACCAAAGTTTCACTGGGCCTCAAATTTGAGGATCATGTTGCAATTTCTCTTTTAAATTATATGTCCTCTTATAAGCTTCATGTAACGGATCGTCCGTTTGGGCTCCAAGTTCCCGATAGTAAGAGGGAAGTCTTCCCACACACACGGACTGGTAAGCCAAGATATAAAATAAGCACAATAAACTCTAAGAGTGTGTTTGATTAACATGGAAAATATCACCTAGAAAAGAAAATGTTTTCCATCTTTTGTGGAAAATAAAAACCACTTCTACCCAAGGAAAATATTTTTCTTAAAAATAAAGAAAATTAGGCATATTTTCAAAAGTTGGAAAATGTTTTCCATGGAAAAAAATAGCAATCAGACACTTCAAATAGGAATTTGGGTGGAAAACTCATATTTTTCATGGAAAATAAATGTAATCAAACACACCCTAAGTAGAAAGTTTGCAATCATATTTATATATGGAATACGATTAGTACACTTTCCAATAATTTAGTCTTAAACATGTAATAAACAAGCTTGTCATGCCACGTATGTAGGGGTATTCACCGATTCTTCTGCTAACTTCACCAGAAAATAACAAATAGCCATGCTATATGTACATCATGTATGACATTAAATTTGATATTCTTTCATATAGTAGCAATCTACCACCATTGATTTTAAACACATTCATTCTACTTCTACCTAGAGAGATGTCAAATTTATTGTAAATCAAGAAATCTAACACTATTCAACGTCAAATCAGCCAGAGCCAACGACTCTACCCCCACCTCAATTTCCAAGCAAGAATACCTCCACCAACCATGCTTCCCCACCATTTGGGCCCCTACTCAAAAATCCAATGATCAAACGACAATTCGAGGATAGCTCGAATGTTGGCCCCACAAATGACTTGTTCATGTAATATTTATTTCAATCACAAATTTTTTTAGTAAAATATTTTCACATTTTTTCTTATCTTTTAATATAAAATAATTTTATTGAAAGATATTGTAAATAAATTTTAAAAAAATATAAATATTTAAAAAATAAAGTTGTTTGACTTGTTCTGTAGAATCAGCATTCGAAAAGCACTAATGCTACTTAAACAACTCTCTTCGAAAAGTCACCGGCCTGCACGGCAGTTGAGAAAATTTTATTGGAAAACTCAAAACTTGCTTCTGAATCTATGGAATCCTACGAACCCGTTTTAATATAACCCTTTTTACGGGAATTTTCTTTTTAAAGTCAAAGAAAGGCATTTTTTTTTGGAGATTCCAGTGTTTTTTGGGTTTTGTGTATGATACACTCAAACGCGGTGTTAAGAAAGGGTCCTGGACCACCTGGCATTTTATTTGGTTCACAAAAACGCACTTCTCAAACTTCTTACTTCTTTCTTAAATATTTTTACTCTGATATTCAACTTTCTGGTTTCTCATTCTTGAATTTGTTGACTGGGCTGAGTCAACTCGGTTTTATGTTTGGTAGATTTTCAAGAATGTTTGTTGGTTTTTTAGATGTTGAATTGATCATATTCTGAGAAAATAAATTGTGGGATTGCTTTCATTCTTGAGAAAATGAAAGCATTTTGGGAACTCAAAAGTCATCTTTTGCTGGTGCTCTTGATATGCTTTAATAACTTGAGTTTTTGCTGGTCTCTCAATGGTGAAGGTACGAGCTTTTTATATTCTATTAGATCAAAAGAAATTGGAGATGAAAATTAAGCTTTATTTTTTAGTTTGAATTTACTAGATTTTTGTTTATATATTTATGTTTGTGTTTATGAAGGTGTGGCTTTGCTGAGATTTAAAGAGAAAGTGGAGAATGATCCATATGGGGCTTTATCAGATTGGAATCAAGAAGTGGGAGTGGAAAATCCATGTTCATGGTTTGGAATTGGATGCTCTGAGGGGCATGTGGTGGTTCTGTAAGTATATTGTCTTGTGCCAAATTGTTACTTTTTTTGATTTGCTACAATCCTTTTTTTTATAATCTTTTCTGATTTGGAATTCTCTGTTTTTATTTCTTCCTTTTTTAATTTGGTAGTGTTCGATTGATTTGATTGTCATATGTTAAGCAGACTTACATGAATCACATAAGAGAAGGCAACAGATATGCTTACTTTAGGGGGGGAAAGAGTGGCAATTGATTTTTCTCTGTGTAACATTCTTGTTAGAGAAACATGAGGCGGTCACAAAGTTCTTGCATAAGGGAAGAGGTTGGTTAGTGTGGAGGTTGATTAAGTAGATAAAATGCAAATTTACGATGTTGAAAAGGTAGAAGACATTAGATTTTGGAACTTTTAAGGTTCTGAAACAGTACGAAAGTTTCTTACCAATAATATATGTGAAGTTTCTTTTTTGTTGATTATGTGGAAAAGCTTGGGAATAATGTGCTGGAATAAGAGCTAACCGTGCTTACTGGCACTGATGGAAAATTCAAGAATCTGGCACCAATATGGCTATTGGAAGATGATTTCTTGTTGGGATTGTTGAAATTGGTAAAATGTAGCTGATGCTGATACGAATTACTGTCTGGAAAGAGATGAACCTCTTTAAGGGGTTAATTGAATGGTGCCTAGTTAAAAAAAGAAGATGCCTCAGTTTCTTTTTGTTCTTGCAAAAATTGAAGTGTATAATACTTTTTAAAAGAACCTGCTTACAGCTCTACTATTTATTAGGATTAGTGCATCATACATGGATAAATACATGCTTTTTCATACATACACCTACAATCGTGGAACATGATGTGAAGTATGATCAATGGAATTTCAAAATCCTCTAAGTGCTTGTTTTGGTTATTTCTTCTCAACTCGTGAACTAGCATGTTTTCGCACTTATATGTTCAACTTCAATGTGTTATTGTTATGCACAAAACACTTAAGAAATTCTTCATTATTATCTGAAGTCATATTCTTGCAGGAACCTGAAAGATCTATGTCTGAGAGGCACTTTGGTACCAGATCTCGGGAACCTGGTTCATGTGAAATCTATGTGAGTCGCATTAAATTGGTTAATTTGGACAATATTTGCAGTTCAAATCTTGTTGCCTCAGGAAATTTCTATATTTTCAAATTTACATTTTATGAAACTCTGATTTATCTTGAACTACTTTACAGAAGCTTACGCAACAATTCTTTCTCTGGTGTCATTCCGGAAGAGATCTCTAAGTTGAGCGAATTAGAAGTATTGGACCTTGGATATAATAACTTCAGCGGACAGCTTCCATGTCATCTTATCAATAATTTCTCAATAGCAATTCTGTACATTCACAATACAATTAACTTTGTTAACACTGAGATGAACCTTTTTATGCTCTCAATAATGGGCTTTTTTTGTTTGATACAGTTTACTTGACAATAATGAGCTTCTTGGCAACCCATATCCTGAAATTTATGAGCTTCAAAAGCTATCTGAAGTTCAAGTGAATGAACGTCTGCTGTCCAGCGGCATAGAAACGCTATCTTGCAATGACAGATTAATCTCAGGGTACATCTATTTAGTCTATTTGATTCTCCTTTTTGTAAATGTAGTCAAGTGATGGCTTGCAATGGTTGTATTGCTGCATGAATAATCTTACCCCTTTTCCTGTAATCCTTGCCAAGATCGCCAGGAAATTCTTTCTGGGCCGTTGAGTAATTTCGCTTTTCTTCTAAAATGACTCGAAATATGTTTTAGGGACAATAACAAAAAGTTTACGTCTGTCTCACTTCAAAAAATTATATGATCTTGTGCCTGTTACTTTTGTCTGTCACATTATTACTAGCGTTCACAACAGCACTATCCATTTTCTGTTTTATTGAATCATTCCAAAACAGGGCAAACGGATGTATTTTGTTTTCCAGATTTGGATCCTTACACTTATTCTCCATTTCTAAGGTGTATCCGCATATATATGACTGTTGCCTCTGATTCGCATTCAAAAAGCTTCTATTTTCATTTTCAAGTTCATGAAGGATTGTAACAATTGCAGGAATCTAGGACAAATGGGAGATGTAGCTCAACGGAAATTGTTACAAGATTTTAAATTGTCAGTTCAAGCCTTATTTTTCCTGCCACCATCATCATCCAAATCTGGAAGTTCCCCTACACCAGAACCATCCCCTTCCCCTTCCCCTTATCCTCTCCCTCCTGCTTCTTCTCCTGAAAATACTTCCCCACGTTCACCCCCGACGAGCCCCCCTCCTTCTCCTGGAAGTGTTTCTCCATCTTCACTTCCTAACCCAGCAGAAAGTCCTTCCAAGCCAGCTAAAAGTTCCAGTCGTAATCATCATAGAATTCTGATATTATCTGGAGCCATTGGAGGTCCTTTGTTACTTTTGTTTTTGATCGCGGGCATATTGTTTTGTCAATATAGTAAGGTTGCTACTGTCAAGCCTTGGGCTACGGGAATAAGTGGACAGTTGCAGAGAGCATTTGTAACGGGTGAGTTTCTCTCCTACAAGCACACCTCACATGTTTTCTTAGAGATTATTTCTATATGACTCTTTTGTTTTTGTTTTTTGTGTCAAATTGAAATCATATCTAATGCTTTTGAAGTTCTTTTATTCTCTTAATACACATTTCCTTATAAAACTGATCACAGTTAATGAAGATTCTACACCATCTACCAACAATTCAACTATCTTTTTGTGTCGTAGGGGTCCCAAATCTGAAGAGATCAGAACTTGAGATTGCTTGTGAAGATTTTAGCAATGTCATTGGCTCTTCATCATTCTGCACGCTATACAAGGGTACACTGTCCAGTGGAGTTGAAATAGCTGTTGCATCTCTGGCTATCGCCTCTGCAAAGGACTGGTCAAATATTCTAGAAGCCCAGTTTAGGACTAAGGTATGTTGATTTGATTATTTAAGAATTTGTTTGTTTGATGAGAATTCTGCCCTCAAATGGACCTAATTGGTATATTATTATAGATTCTTCTTGTTTTTCTATTTAATAAATTTAGTTATCATGTGGCTTCAGATTGATACACTATCAAAAGTGAATCACAAGAATTTTGTCAACTTAATTGGATATTGCGAGGAAGAGAAACCTTTCACTAGAATGATGGTTTTTGAGTATGCTTCCAATGGAACTCTCTTCGAGCATCTACACAGTGAGTATTCAATTTATTTTATTTTGTTTTTTCCATGTTCTTCTTGCATTTTGGTTCTTTTGGCCAAGTTGATAAAAGTTTGGGGTATTCACTGATGCTTGGTGTTTTAATAGAACAATGAGCCATGTTACAATTTACGTCTATTATGCCACCTTTAATCAAGTCATAGTTATATTATCACTTAGCATGTAGCATAAAAGTTGATATTCATTTCATATAACCAATATGGCTTGGTCGAGGTGAGAACAAATTTGTATATCAGTATGTGTGACAATTATTTTCTTAATATGTCCATGATGATTCATGAGATAACCTAATTCATGTATTCTGCAGTAAAAGAATCTGAACACTTGGACTGGGCAATGCGGTTGAGAATCGCAATGGGGATGGCATACTGTTTGGAGTACATGCACCAGTTGACACCGGTAGTACCCCACAGAAACTTGACTTCTTCAGCCGTATATCTCACTGAAGATTTCGCAGCCAAAATATCGGACTTTGGCTTCTTGGGTTACGGGTCTTCAGCTCAGATTGAACCAAATCTGCAGAGTAATGTCTACAGCTTTGGTGTTGTACTATTTGAGATGATAACCGGTAAACTGCCTTATGTAGTTGGTAATGATTCACTTGAAGACTGGGCATCGGATTATCTTAGAGGAATTCCATTCCTTAGAGAAATAGTGGATCCAACTTTGACATCATTTCAAGAAGATCAAGTTGAACAAATTGGTCGTTTGATAAAATCATGCGTTAATCCTGAGCCGAGACAGAGACCATCAATGAGAGATATTGCTGCACGGTTGAGAGATATAACGTCAATAGCCCCCGATGCAGCAATACCGAGACTATCCCCTGTTTGGTGGGCAGAGCTTGAGATTCTGTCTACTGAGGTAAATTAAGAATTCTTCTTTTTTATCCTACAGATGCAGAAAAAATTCCCTGGATGGGATTTGCACATAACAGAGATAGAAAAGGCTGGTGAATATTTCTAGTTCACTCTTGTTAAAATATGTCAAATGAAGAGAAAATATAGTATACTGTAAATTAATGGATATATATTCCCATAAGCGGGAAAAGGTAGTTCTTTTACTTTTGTAATGATGCTAGTTTGATCTGGTTGATTTTTACATAAATGTCTTTGTTAAAGCTTGCCTTTGTAAATAGTGGAAAGATTGAGAAGAGAAGCAAGAGAGAGGAGATCGGGTTTTCTTAATTCAATTTTCGAGTCGACTAGAATCAAATATATTATTCATCCCCGAGCACGTAAAGCAAGAATGTTTTTTGTAAGCAAAATTTATGAACTTCCATATGGATCTTAATTCAATTTTCGAGTCGACTAGAATCAAATATATTATTCATCCCCAAGCACTTAAAGCAAGAATGTTTTTTGTAAGCCAAATTTATGAACTTCCATATGGATCTTAATTCAATTTTCGACTCGACTAGAATCAAATATATTATTCATCCCCTAGCACGTAAAGCAAGAACGATTATTGTAAGCCAAATTTATGAACTTCCATATGGATCTTAATTCAATTTTCTACTCGACTAGAATCAAATATGTTATTAATCCCCGAGCATGTAAAGCAAGAATGTTTTTTGTAAGCCAAATTTATGAACTCCCATATGGATAGAAATATGAACGAATAACATATTTAGAGTCGAATTCCAATTTTACAAGCAGATCCATCCATTGAAGTCCAAAATTTTAAATATGAAGACTCTAGCATTAAGATTTTTCATGAGAAATGGCAACTACTAGTTTGTATTCATTTATACACAAGTATTTATTGTTTCGATTAGGTTGAAAATCTACATTTTATAATCGCTAAAGCTAACAATTAGGACCTTAATAACAAATTCGATCGTTTACTATCGACTCTTGATATTATGAAGATCATGAAATGAGCAAAATTATTGAAACATAACATGAAGGTGGCAATCACGTTAGCAATATTTGGCAAAACAAATTATTCAAATGCAGTATTGTAGTAGCACCCACGTTAGGATCTCCAAAACTCAAACCACACAAATGCCACACCAGTAACCGTATATATAGTACCAAATACAATACTCTAAACCACCAAACAATCTTTCCAACTTCCTCATCTTAAGGCCTTCCGAGAAGATGGCGAGCAGCCGACTCAACAGCCTCGTTTCATTTCTTGTCCTCTCATTGGCTGTTTCCTCAACAACTGCACACGAAAATGGCACAAACACACACAAACCAGTAGAGAAGCATGTTGACGTTGTGGTAGAAGGAGTTGTCTACTGCCAGAGCTGTGATCAGTATGGAACATGGCCTCTGACGGGAGCAGAGCCTATTGAATCAGCCACGGTTAGTATCATCTGCAAAGACCACAGAAACCGAGTCAGTTTCTATAAGGCATTCCATACGGACAACAATGGATATTTCTATGCACAGCTTCTAGGATTCAAGAAGAGCCATGCTCTATTGGATCATCCTCTTCACTCATGCCACGTAAAATTGGTATCATCACCACTTGAAAACTGCAATCTTCTCTCCAATATCAATTATGGACTCTATGGTGCTCCACTTCGTTATGAAGATAAGAAACTCATAGGAACAAATTACGAGGCTGTGATATATGCTGCAGGCCCCTTGGCTTTCCGTCCAGCACATTGTGCTCCCAAGGAACAACCATGAGTTGAACACTAGCTCCCCTTAAACCTGAGGAATAATTACACTCTACATTCATTTTTCTACCATTTACCTGATTTGATTCAGTGTTTTCAACTAATATTGAGCCTGTAAGCTGTGAATCATTTTATAGTTTTAACTTCTTTTTTTGTTCTGTTACTTCTGGAGTTAATTCTCAATAACTCAGTTCTATCATGGATAAAAATTGTATGCAAATGTTGTGAAAATCTCATAACACTTGCATATCACAAATATTTGAACTACTAAAGAAAATGATTAGATTAGATTATATCAACTTCAGAACCGGGCAAGTCTATGAAATCCATTATGAAACAATACCTGTATCAATTACAAGAATTCACATATCCATCGGCATTGCAAACATTTTACTGATTTCAGCCATTGCTTCCTTAGTGCATAGAGTTTGTTCAAATAGATCGTGTTCGTTTCTGGCAGACAAACTTGATAGGGAGCTCCCTTGTTCATTGTCTAATTCCTCATCAGGAAGAATCAAAAACCCACTGCAACTGGTCGTCTTGACATGATTAGGTACATCATCATGCTTATTTGGCTGGCTTGTCCTTGAAAATTCGATTGGCTTCTGAAACATATTATTAACATCATCCATAGCATTTTCATTGTCAAATTCGTCATCTGGAAGTATCAAAAACACATCAGAACTGTTCTTCACATCCGTTATTCTGTCTTGCTTCTTCATCCTGCTTTTCCGTGTAAATTCTATTGGCTTTCCAAACATGCTATTAATATCTTTCATAGCCTCCTTCAAATTAATAGTGGGCTCAACCAGGCCATGGTGGCAAACATTTTCGACCTCTGGTTCGTCAGAGATGGTGGATCCTACGAACCGAAAAACAACTGTATCCTCCCGTTGACCAGCTTGTGGCCTCCTTCTAGCATCTAGATCTTTAGAGCATTCAGAAAGATCATTTGGAATTGAAAATGGAAAATCATTCCCATGAATAACACCTTCAGCAGAGATTTCAACCTGAATCTCCTTCTCATGGCTTTCCTCATCATCCATATATATTTGAAATGGTTTGTGTACAGGCTGATTAGAGTCAGATCTTGGTGGTGGCTTTGATGAATACTTTGTCGGTTTCTGCTGACACAATACAATATCAGTCTCTAAGCTTTTCTCATCATAAACCTTGATTTCATTGTTGAAGCTCTCACCAGTTTTGAGCTGGCTTCTGTCTGACGTCCTGCCAGCTATAGATGGCACCAATGGTTCTTGGAACATGCTATTTATGGCATTAATGGCCTCTTTTGTGTTAATTGTAGGCTCCACTAGACCATGATGCCTCGAGTCTTCTGCATTAGATTGCCCAACAATGGCAGTATCTACAAACTTAGTCACAACTGTATCTTCACCTCCAAATTTTTTAGTTCTGTCGTGTTTGACTTTAGTTTTTTCTAAAGAACTTTTGCCTCTACAATCACTCACGATCACCTTCTTAAGTTGCCTATTTTTGAGCAATTCAACATTATTAGAATTTGCTGCAATGTGTTTATGATTTGCCTCTTCTATTGGCAATTCATTCTCAGAGCTTTGTGACTGCTTAATCATGTTCTCAGCATTTACAGACTCTGGTTGCATCTCTAAAGAACATTCTCCTAGCCAAGCTCCCACAGTTTGTTCATCAGTTCTGCACGCACTCTCATTCTTTTCTTCAACCTCATCATTCTTTGGAATACAAATGTTAGTTTTCCCTACCTGGTGATGCCATATATCTTCCCTTGTTTAGAAAACAAAGAAAACATAGCAACAATAGGAAATTTATATAGCAGAGCATGATCTATCATAACCTGAATTCTCTTATTTCTCTGTCGCTTCATACGATGAAGAAATTGCTCATATGCCTTTTGCAACTCATCAGCAGGCTCTGCAAGGCTGTTGAAAGATAGGCACAAAAGAATCTAATTTAGGACCTGTTTGAACCACATTATTCCAAAAAAATGCATTCTTAAACGGTGATTTGATATCATTTCAACCGCACATTCTTCAATAAAATAATATTACACGCAAATCAAAAACTTTTCCTTATTTTTTAACCACACATTTCCCATTAATACACTATTCCAGAATGCATTATTACCAAAATAATGTGGCTCAAACACCCCCTCAAAAAATTTAAAAATTAGCTGTTATTAGTATAACATATAGTTCACAATCATTTATCTGTTTTTTGGATAATAAATACTATTGGATTGATTAGTTTTTATTGTTATATGGAAGCACATCACATTATCCGTGTCCCACAAGTATCAGACATATGTCGATACCGACATTCCTCAAACGCTCTACCATATAAATTTTTCTTTTTTAATTAAAAATATTAAATATTTTTAACTCAAAGTTATTAGAAAATAAAAATATATATACCCATAATTAAAAGATTTCAATAAGAAAAATTAATAATAAGTATAAAATTAAATTTATACTATATAAATGAAGAATTTTAAAAAATTTAATCTACATGTAATGTCATTACTTTTTTGAAAAATTGTGTACTGACGTATCTGACATGTATCGTGTTAAACACACGTATCAGTGTCAGTGCATCATAGATTGACTTTGCTGGAAATCTTCTATATGTTTCAATAGCTTTGAAAATCTATTATATTTTAATAAAAATAGCCTTTGTCCACTAATTATTAGCCATAATTCATCAATGGAACCCATCGTATGTTGATGTAACCTAATTGATTTCTTGAATATATATTAGTATACCATGTATAAAATACTTTATAATTTCAAACACAAACAATAAAAACACACAACACGCTAAAACAATACTTCGACCCTAGAACTTCATCACCGTGGTGACAGCAATATCAATCCAGGCAACAAAAAGGACATCAAACCGGCATAGACTAGTGACTATATAAAATAATCTCAATAGTAATGACTAGTGGTCATATGGGAGACTTATCGTTATTTTGTTTGAGTAGTAACCTTATGTCTTTATTGATTTATTTTGTGCTTGTTTGCACTGATACTTCAAGTTTATTTATTTAATTAATTTTTTTTTTTTTTTGGGAATTTTATAATCAGTTTATGTTATTACATGTTTATTTTTATATTTTTGTATGTTTTTACTATTTTTTTGGTCTTTGGTGAGGCTTACGGCTCAAAACGCCTAGAGCCTTACTCTCGACTCACGAAGAAAAAGTGCTACAGTACACGATTTCTCCTTTTTAAACAATTGATGCACAATATAGTGAACAGGAGAACACAAAATAGAAGAGATNCAGTGCAGAAGCACAAATGTACACAACTACCTCCGGAAGGCACTCTGATACATTTTTCTTGTAAATTACTAATTTTTGCTTAAGCAGCATTTAGTTAAATACTCCTCAATTAGATTTACTAGTTACTTATTCTATTCTTGGTGTAACAAAATTGGAGCTCATAATTGAAATTCATGAAAAAACAATTAAATATAAGACAAAATCATTTCTAATTCCAACAGTCGGACCCCAATTCAATGTATCTTAACACAAACTGGTTTCACCATGGCAGTAAAAGCAAGAAAATAAGTCTCCAGTACTTCTAAAGTCTGGAAGACACCAGCCTAATGCTAAAAATTTTAAGAAAATAAAAAGTAATTCAAACAAATTTGCTCTTTATTTTCCTTGCTATTCTTAGCAAGCAAACACAGCATCAAAACCAAACAATTTTATAATAATAATAATAAGGGAGAATCATTAAGAAAAATGAAAATAAAATATTGGGTTGGTGTCAGAAAAAAGAGTTACCAATTGCAACCAAACACGAAGGTAGCGCAGGTCGTTGGAATAGCGGCGGTCAGTTTGAAAATTCTCGGCGCATTTCTGAAGAAAGCGAGGCAGTTTCTCTTTGAGAAGCTGGGGCGGCACCGAGTCTTTCATTTTCTTTATCCCTCTATTACAAAAAAAGAAAATCGATTTGCATAGAGAAACGCACAAAACAAACACAGCAAGAGGGAAAAATTTCTGGGTATTAATATATATTTACTGACCGGATCCATGGGAGAAGAGGATCATTGCCATTGTAGGATTTGATGTCTGAGATTATCGAAGAGAATAGATTGTTAAAGAGAGTATTGTTGTCGTTCGACATTGATGGAATGAATACCTCTGGTGAGCGGAGTTGAATGATACTGTAGATTGGGTGGGGGTTCTGATTTGAATTTGTTCAGGCGCTGCTTAGGGTGGAGGACTTTTGTAAGAATTCTTTATCGAAGAGGTCCTTTTGCGAAACTGCAACGGGTCTCTATTTTTGGCATTTTGTGCCAATGGGTCCAAAAGAAATAAAACATGGCATCACGTTTTAATATTTCATATTCGTAATCCATCGTGACATCAAATGCGCATATATCACATTTCTAAAGGGTAAATGGGTAAATACTTAATTTTAATTTTAAAAATTAAAAAGGAAAAAAATAATTTTTATTTGTGATATAAAAAGAGGGAAGAAGAGAAGAGATAATAAAAGCTAGTAGACTTGTGTGTAGGATTTAATTCACCAATGGCTACCCAACTTTATACTTAGTATCATCGTGACCACCTAGTTAGATTTTATTTTACCACGACCACCCAATTTCATATACGCTTTATCATAGCCACCTAATTTCATATAATATTTCACTACGACCACCCAACTTTTTTCGACATTTTCACTAATTTTAAAAGGGATAAAACGATAACTTTACATTATATATATAAAATAAATTTTAAAAAGCTTATTTAATTAAAAAAAATGTTACCTAAAAAATAAAATAAAAACTTATTTTTAAGAAAAAACGTTTCTTAGAAAAAATATAAATTAAAAAGTTATTTAACAAAAAATGTTCTTTAAAAAAAACAAATAAAAACTTTTTTAAAAAATAAAAACTTTTTTTTTTTAAAAAAGTCACTTAGAAAAATAAATGAAATAAAAATATTTTTAAAACTTTCATTTAAATTTATTTTATATATAGTGCAAAGTTACCGTTTTGGCCCTTTTAAAATTAGTAAAAATGGTAAGAAGAAGTTGGGTAATCATTGTGAAATTAAATAAAATTGGGTGACCATGGTGACAGGAAGTAAGAAGTTGGGTAGCCTTGGTAAAATAAAATTAAATTGAATGGCTATGGTCACACTAAATATAAAATTGGATGGTCATTCGTAGATTTAACCTTTTGTGTGTATTATAAGGAGAACCAAAACCCCATATTGATATGGAAAGATTAGGGATGGTAATAATTCTAGGGCTATAGGGGTACAATTATCATTTACTAATAAATTTACCATTTGCAGCACTCTCCATTAAATGACATATTACAAAATATTTGCCTCGTTAAAACTTTGTTTGGTAAAAATCCAATAGGATAGAAAAAATCAAATGAACGAAAAAGTGTATAGTTATTTTGGAGTATTATAGATAAATATTGCTTCATTAAAATTTTGCTAAGAAAATTCAATGGGACAAAACTTAAACTAAAGAAAAGTAGTGCAGCTACTTCATCTAATGTTGATCACTGAAAACTTTTGAGTCGACATATTGCAATCTCGTGAACCAATTTCTTAAAAGTAGATGTTAGCCGTGCTTTTGTGAACAAATAAGCCACGTTGTCACTTGAGTGAATTTCTTGAATATCGATGCCGCCAATTTTTTTTAAGCTCATGTGTATGAAAGAATTTTGGAGAAATATGCTCCGTCATGTCACCCTTGATATAGCCTCATTTGAATTGTGCAATACAAGCTGCATTCTTGAATATGATGGGTTATATTCGACGTATCATTATAGTTCCTAATGTCTAAGTCGATCATGCCAAAATATAAAATTTGTTGGGTCAACGGATTTCTAATTTGTGACAATATTTGTTTCAACCATTTTATAAATATATAATACATGTTAGATAGGAAGTACATGAAGTTTTTCTTTTATTCGCTTCTGGCCAAATATAAAAGAAGTTACGCAAAGATATTTAATATTATTTTCTTGTATCGTCTCAATGTGATTTCCATTACAGCTAACTACACAATTTTTTTTTTAATTTTGCTAGAATAAAGTGCGTTGTCAATATATAATTTTGTATTATTTGATGAAATAATACAAGCTCTTCCAGAACTTTCAATGATATTCGATGTACCTGATATAATATTAACATTATTTTCTGTTAATGTTAAGTCAATTTTTTCTTTTATTTATCTTGCAGAATNTTGAAGACATTAGATATAGATGTGTTTTCATACTCAAATGTAAAAGTATAATTCCTCAAATTTCTCACATCGACTATAACTCAATTTTTTATGCACAAGACTCCTTCACGACAAACAATACTTGCATAAAAACTATTTTCAATATAAGTATCTCGATTTTAAAGATTACATATTTATGAAATACTTATCTGTGCAATAAATGTGAAAATCCTTCAAATACTTGCATGAAAATTCATCACGAAGGAAAAAATCTGGAGGGACAATAATTTGTCTGTCCGGACGTCCTGATGTGACCGTCCGGACAAGACTTCCAACAGTCATTTCAATGACCGTTTGTCAAATGGCTAGTTGCCCGTCCGGATCCTAAGCGGACGTCCGGATCGCGTGTCCGAATTGACAGACCTTTTGACCGTTTGATGGTTATAAATACCCCACTTTCTACCACAATCAATACAAGAATTCTAGAGCTTTAAAGTGCAACATTTATTGATCTTTCCTACCTTGTTTTCAATTCTTTAAGACCAAATCATTTAACTTTTGAAAAACTTTTTGAGTGATCAAATTTTTGTGAAATTCCTATATCTCAAAAAGGGTTTCTCCTTGACCACACTTAAAGCTATATTCTTTGTGAATTATTGAAGTATTGTATCTACTTCTCTCTCTTGATTCTTAATTAAGTTCATATCATTAATTAAGAGAGAAGTCTTTGATTGTAATTTCAATTTTCCTTTAAATTTTAAATCGTGGGTCAGTTGAGGTCCCGAAAAGCTCAACATTGTAAATGATCGGTGCTCCTTGTTTGTAAAAAGGTTGGATTGTACCATAAGTCAATCAAATATAGTGGAACAGGCCTTGTTCGTGATAGAAAGCTTGGTAACAGGGAACGTAAATCGTTGATTGAATTGAACCTCTTTTTTACATCATTTACACTCTCTTTTCCCTTCCTCCTATTACTTTTGTGTTATCTTGCTTATTCATTATTTTAATTGCTTAATTTTGCATTTATTTTCGAAAAAGTATCAAATAATCAATTCACTCCCCTCTTGGTTAGTTGTTCTTGGGCTTTCAATTCTATCATGAATACATAAATATAACAAAATAAATATATTTTAAGAACTTGAATTTAAATTTAAAAGAAGAAAGTAATTCAATATTATGAAATTAACAATGCATAAGAAAAATTCAATTTATTTTTTATTTGAAAAGTATAAACATATTTCAAATTGAATTTTTAAAACAAAGGAAAATAGTAGAAAGTAAATTGATTTATATCTTTAATTACATTACCACCACTCAAATAGTTAATATTCTCATATAGATTAGCAAATAAATCAGAAACATCCAAATGAGTCATATCAAATGGACCATCATAATTAGTAAAATTTGTTTTCACTTTTCTCGTTTCCTTGATGGATTTTTGGTAAAGATCCATAAAATATTTTGGATGTGCTACTTTCGTTTGCTTTGTGTATTTTTAGATTGTTGCTGATAACTTTGTTTATTATTTCGTCCATGGTTTATTTTACTTGCACATCCATGTCTACCTCCAAATTCGTATCCATGTCCATGCCCACGTCCTTATCTTGATATTACATTTGTTTCAAGCAATACAATGCCATCAGCTTCAAGTAATTGTACAAAACTAGTTGGATGTAATTCATGATTTTTCATCGTAAGTTTATTATTTTATTCAGCTATAAACCACACGCATGATAGTGCTGCTGTAGGAGCATATTCGAGGCTTGAAAGGTAGAGAACAATCAAGAAAGCTCCAGAAAAATGAAAAAAAGAAGTTGATAAAAAGCTAGAGTAATCAAAATGAACAAAAATTCTACGCTAAAACACAGAAAAAAATAATAAAATGCCTAAAAGTTCTAGAGAACGATGACATTTGGCTTCGGGAGTAGGTGGTTTGTGGATCTAAAGGATGGACAACTATTGCTCAGAACGTCGTTGTAATACTCCGAAATTTTATGCTCGTTTAAATTTTCGTAGGATAGTGATTTAACTTTCAATATTCTTTTTGGCCATAAGGAAAAGGGGACACCACATTTATAGTGGTTAATGTTAGAGGTAGTTAATGAATGTAGGCATGAAGTGTCAAAGGTTGTGTATGTATGAAGTGATTATTAATTAGTCGAAACTTAAGGCAAGTTTGGACTTGAATGAAGTGGATTATTTTGTTAGGACTTCAATTGACCAAATGATTAAATTATGTTACAATCTACAATTTTTGAATATGTAAGTTGGGTACAAGTTTAAATTTGGGGTACACTTTGTTAACAATGAAAGTTAGAGGGTTTAGATTATATTAGTTGAAAAGATAAGAGGTTTCCTTTGTAAATCTAGGTTTTGAGGCCACTTATTACCCTATAATCAACCCACTTGTCCTCCATCATCACCATACACTTAGATAGTCGACCAAACATGTGTACAAGTAAGGAAAAAAAAAAGAAAAAGAAAAATGGGAGAAAAGAAGGGGTGAGGCGGTGGGAAGAGAAAAAAAAAAAGAAAAAATATCAAGTTTTATCCTTATCTTTATATAAGTATAAATACATCCATATCCATTGCCATAGAAAGATTTCCTTCATTTTACAAAACACTTATACACTTAAAAAAAGAGCAAAAACTGAAAATAAGAAAGGAAAGGGAAGGAAG